TTTCTTCTTCTGACGATATCTTACTATTCCGAACATTTCAATTGAAAACGTTCCGAATTTTCCGGCCGTCAATATTAATGGATCCGCGGAGCGATGTACCATGAACATTAAATCNTTCGCATTTTTTGACGGCAAATCGTACCATTTGCATTCGTACACGCCGTATGCGATACTAGTGCTCTGAAAACAACGGTTTGTTTTGCACTACATGTGATATATTATTACTCTTTCGCTTTTTCGGCGTGCTTGTACCAAAATGTAATTCACTGTGGATGGAACGCGTTGCTCGACACTGACACAACTACGAAGTGATTACGACGCACTTGTTATTTTTGTAAACTTGCAAACATGTAATATAATATAGATACTATATAAACAAATATGCGTTTTTTGTAGGCGTATATGTGCACGTTCTTCAGAGCGAAAGGGTTAATGATATTTTTGCGGTACTGTAACATATATTACTTATTATCGCAGTGTATTTTATTGTTATTATTTTACCTCTTCCGAAAGTCTTTCGGCTGAATAGCAATAAATCCACAAATGCATTAACACGAGAAGAACGTAAAACGAAAGGAAACATTTTTTGCTAAGAGGCACCTCCAAGTGTTCCGTTATTATCTGAAAAATGTAATGCGCTTTTATAATATATTGTATTAAGGTATATATACATAATATTGTTACAACAATGCATAATTATTTACCGTAAAAACTCGAAACGTTTGAAAGCACAGTTGAAATGTAAGTGACAGCATGTGCACGAACAACATTGCACTGAAGGAGCTGTCAAGTGCCTTCGCGTTCCTTGATCATTTTTGCATGTAGTAATATTTAGATGTTATACAATTATTATCACTAATTACTTTAATATAAAATACTATCAAAATTTTATTACTTTTTTGTAATGTGTATATTTTATTGGTTTTATTTTGTTTGCTTGTTAAATCTAAAGATTGCACGATCTATCCACAAATCTAATGTTACTAGTACTTATACATATTTTACACACTGTTTGAGATGTACTTTGACGTACCTGATGATATGCTCGTGGCGAATAATAACCGCGCTTAACTTTTTTCTAAATCTTGAAGACGACATGGATTTGTCGACCACTTCGTCAATCAGATTATGCAATGTTGTTCGTAAATTTATCAGCTGCGAACAGACGTGCAGCACGAGCGTTGAGACGAAGCTGTCGACGGCGCAGATGATGTAGACCGTGTACGTACCACCACAAAGTTGAAGAAAAAAGGTGATCTCGTAATTCGGACTCTTGTAAACGTTGTAGGGATACGGGAATTCATAGACGGGAGGTCGTTGGGGCTGGTGAAAGAATTGATAGAACTTGGTGAGATTGAATACTATGTAAAACCCGACCGTTCCAACTCCAAAAAAGTAACATCGATATGACAAACTTCTACTACATCTTGCGAGCTTCAACATCGTATAGCGTTCCCAGTTGCTTGAAGTAATCCAATCGGTCATGACCGATGTTACCAGCATTTGAAGTGCTTGTAGATGAATCACAGTTTTTAGAAACACAATGTAACAATATATAATTAATATCAAAACGAGAATGACAGGTGATACTAAATATTAAAAATAATTGTCCCGATAATGGAACACATACATAGACACTGTTACACATTTAGTAAAGCCATGTCAATAATAAATATAATAACTAGTACACATTTAAACAGTTTTTAAAATATGTTTAGAAGTATGTGTTTTTTAAGCTTCTAAATATAAAATTAGAAATATAATTGGTTATAAATACTACTCTAATAATCATCCGGTGATTGATACTTGTGCAGTTATTCGAACACTTATTTTAGCAAAGAGGTTACAGACTTGAAGAAGACAATATACGGTAGAAATTTTAATTTCAATTTTTTATATATAATTTAGAAAAGTAATATTAAATTTATTATAAAAATTATTTAATTGAAAAAAGAGATTATTCTTTACTACGTTTGCTAATAACGTACTTTCACCGTGATACCACGTGAACACCAATTTTAACAGCGCTATCAAACTAAAATTCGCGGAGGCGAAGTACTCCACCATCAGGGCCACGTTACCCCAAGCGCGAATCATATTTGTTACTTGCGGCACGAACACATAGAAGCTCAAGATACATGTGATGATTATACATCTCACGCTGGGACGGCGAAATCCACTCACGGAAACATGTGGATCGGGCCATAAGCCTAAGAATCGCAAACACTGGCGACTGAGTGCGAACTCGTAATTCAGATCTAAAACAATTCAATCGTAATGGAAATATTAGTTGGTTTCTTTGCGCAAAGTAAATGTACACCTTGTGCGGCACAATAGAAAATACACATTGTTTCCTTTTTTGCAGTATAACAAGTTTTCACGATCTTTTTTTACACAGGAAATGAAAAAAAAAAATTGCATTGGAAATCAAAGGACTTTAATTTGTATATTTCGAACAATTCTGAACCCTAAAAAAATCTTACCAACTCATATACTAGAGAAGAAAATTTTGTTCTAGCTTTTCGAAGTTGTATATAATAAACTACTTCAAACTTTATTCTCTACGTGTTTCTAAACTGTCTAGTAATAATAAAATACTTTTGTATTTTTGCAACTATAATAATTCAGAAAGCTTTCCCATCATGTAGAAAAAACAATTGTCTTAGGTAGATATAAAGTGTTTTTAAAAAATAAAAAACTATAGTGTGTGAACAACAAAATCGCGGTTTAATATTTTTGACAGCGTTTAAATCGCTAAACAAATCGGTAAAAATTACAATCACGTTTTGTGTCATTTTATAATGAAACATTAACAATACCGATAGTTTTTTGTTGTATATTGCGATGTTTTGTATTGTGTTTCGAGACTTAGATATACTACCTTTGTTAACATTCATTGAGGTTCGCGAAGCGAAAATTGTCGTCGGACTGAGATACTTACCATGACACCACCCCAAACCCACCGAGATTGCGCGCGTGCTCCGTACGTAATAGATTTTCCTACCAGTGGTCAGTTTTTTTAAACCGTCTCAGAGAACAATGGACAGTCGTACGCGTAACACGACTAATAGCGCGCAGTCATTTGTATTGAATCGAATATTCTACGAACATAACATTAAACTTTTTCGACTATCAACGAGTTTGTTCGCTTGATCGGGATATCGTTGTGCTGTGCTTTGCATTGACCACTTAATTGGCGACTGTTTGGAAGGAATAATCGATTTTTATCTGTCATAAATATTCTCAACATTTACATTCAGTGACATCGTTAAGTTGAAGCAAATGAAGTGTGTGGATCGGTACGCAGAAATATATATGTTGTACAATAAGATTTATGTTACAATCAGTGCGTATATGTGCATTATTTAAACACATTACATATGAAACTGCAGTGAGGTATTGTGTTGTTCTTATATTACTTTCAATTAATCTTTCATTGCCAACAATGCCGATAAGTAACCCAATGATGTTTTCACTGTCTAAACACAGTAAAAGTTAAAAATAAATAAATAGTAATCAAATATACATATATATGTTTATGTATATATAACGATTAATATATGATAAAATAATATTAAGTAATATGATATCCAGTAGTATAATATGCAAATTTTTTGCAAACAATTAGATGCAAACTAAAAATATATGAGAATAATATATTTCTTCTTCTGACGATATCTTACTATTCCGAACATTTCAATTGAAAACGTTCCGAATTTTCCGGCCGTCAATATTAATGGATCCGCGGAGCGATATATCAGGAACATTAAATCCTTCGCGTTTTTTGACGGCAAATCGTACCATTTGCATTCGTACACGCCGTATGCGATACCAGTGCTCTGGAAACAACGGTTTGTCTCGCGATACATGTGATATATTATTACTCTTTCGCTCTTTCGGCGTGCTTGTAACAAAATGTAATTCACTGTGGTTGGAACGTGTCGCTCGACACTAACACAACTACGACCTAATTACGACGCACTTGTTGTTTTTGTAAACTTGCAAACATGTAATATAATATACATATTATAGAAACAAATATGCGTTTTTTGTAGGCGTATATGTGCACGTTCTTCAGAGCGAAAGGGTTAATGAAATTTTTGCGGTACTGTAACATATAGTAACTATTATCGCAGTGTATTTTATTGTTAATATTTTACCTCTTCCAAAAGTCGTTCGGCTGAATAGCAATAAATCCATAAAAGCATTAACACAAGGAGAACGTAAAACCAAAGGAAAATTAGTTTGCTAAGAGGCACCTCCAAGTGTTCCGTTATTATCTGAAAAATAAAATGCGTTTTTATAATATATTGTAGTAACGTATATTAACATAATATTGTTACAACAATGCATAATTATTTACCGTAAAACCTCGAAACGTTTGACAGCACAGTTGAAGATTAAGTGCCAGCACGTGCATGAACAACATCGCACTGAAGGAGCTGTCAAGTGCCTTCGCGTTCCTTGATTATTTGTGCACGTAGTAATATTTAGATGTTATACAATTATTATCATTAATTACTTAAATACAAAATATTATCGAAGTTTTATTTCTTTTTTGTAATGTGTATATTTTATTTGCGCTTGTAAAATCTAATGAATGCGCGATCTATCCACAAATCTAATAAAACTACTATACATATACATATTTTACACACTGTTTGAGATGTACTTTGACGTACTTGATGACATGCTTGTGGCGAATAATAATCGCGCTTAAATTTTTCCTAAATCTTGAAGACGACATAGATTTGTCGACCACTTCGTCAATCAGATTATGCAGTGTTGTTCGTAAATTTATCAGCTGCGAACAGACGTGCAGCAGGAGCGTTGAGACGAAGCTGTCGACGATGCAGATAATGAAGACCGTGTATGTACCACCACAAAGTTGAATAAAAAAGGTGATCTCGTAATTCGGACTCTTGTGAACGTTGAAGGGATACGGGAATGGATAGACGAAGGGTCGTTGAGGCTGGTGCATAAATCGATAAAACTTGGTGAGATGGAATAATATGTAAAACCCGATCGTTCCCGTTCCAAAAAAGTAACATCGATATGACAAACTTTTACTACATCTAGCGAGCTTCCACATCGTATATCGTTCCCAGTTGCTTGAAGTAATCCAATCGGTCATGACCGATGTTACCAGCATTTGAAGTGCTTGTAGATGAATCAAAGTTATTAGAAACACAATGCAACAATATGTAAGTAATATCAAAACGAAAGTGACAGGTTATGCTAAATATTACAAATAATTGTCCCGTTAATCGAACACGTACAGAAACACTGTTACACACTTACTAAAGCCATGTCAATAGTAAATATAATAACTATTACAGATTTAAATAGTTTTTAAAATATGTTTAGAAATATTTGTTTTATAAGCTTCTAAATATAAAATTAGAAATATAATTGGTTATAANTACTACTCTAATAATCATCCGGTGATTGATACTTGTGCAGTTATTCGAACACTTATTTTAGCAAAGAGATTGCAGACTTGAAGGAGACAATATACGGTAAAAATTTTAATTTCAATTTTTAAATATTATTTAAAAAATTGATATTAAATTTTTTATATATTATTTAATTGAAAAAAGAGATTACTCTTTACTACGTTTTTGCTAATAACGTACTTTCACCGTGATACCACGTGACCACCAATTTGCACAACGCTATCAAACTAAAATTTGCGGAGCCGATGTTCTCCACCATCAGGGCCACGTTACCCCAAGCGCGAATTATATTTGTTACTTGCGGCACGAACACATAGAAGCTTAAGATACATGTAATGATTATAAATCTCAAGCTGGGACAGCGAAGATCACTCACGGAAACATGTGGATCGGGCCATATGCCTAAGAATCGCAAACACTGGCGACTGTGTGCGAACGCGTAATTCAGATCTAAAAAAATTCAATCGTAATAGAAATATTAGTTGTTTTCTTTGCGCAAAGTAATTGTACACCTTGTGCGGCACAATAGAAAACACACGTTGTTTAATTTTTTGCAGTATAAAAAGTTTCCAAGATCTTTTTTTACACATGAATATAAAAAAAAAAGATTGCATTGGAAATGAAAGGACTTTAATTTGTATACTTCGAGCAACTCTGAACCCTAAAAAAATCTTAACAACTCTTATACTAGATAAGAAAAGTTTGTTCTGGCTTTTCGAAGTTGTATATAATAAACTACTTCAAACTTTATTCTTTACGTGTTTATAAACTGTGTAGTAACAATAAAATACTTTTGTATTTTTGCAACTATAATAATTCAGAGAGCTTTTCTATCATGTAGAAAAAACAATTGTCTCAGATATATATAAAGTGTTTTAAAAAATAAAAAACTATATTATTTGAACAACAAAATCGCGGTTTAATATTTTTGACAGCGTTTAAATCGCTTAAAAAATCGATAAAATATTACAATCACGTTCTGTGTCATTTTATAATAAAACATTAACAATACCAATAGTTTTTTGTTATATATTGCGATGGTTTGTGGTTTGAGACTTAGATATAGTACCTTTGTTAACATTCATTGAAGTTCGCGAAGCGAAAATTGTCGTCGGACTGACAATGAGATACTTACCATGACACCACCCCAATCTCACCGAGAGTGCGCGCGTGCTCCGTACGTAATAGATTTTCCTACCAGTTGTCAGTTTTTCTAAACCGTCTCAGAGAACAATAGACAGTCGTACGAGTAACACGACTAATCGCGCGCAGTCATTTGTACTGAATCGGATATTCCACGAACATAACATTAAACTTTTACAACTATCAGCGTGTTTGCTCGCTCTATCGGGATATCCGTCGTGCTGTGCTTCGCAGTGAACACTTAAGTGGTGGCTGTTTTGAAGGAATAATCGATTTTTATACGTCATAAAATTTATATTCCCAACATTTACATTCAGTGACATCGTTAAGTTGAAGCAAATGAAGTGTGTGGATCGTTACGCAGAAATATATACGTTGAACAATAAGATTTATGTTACAATCAGTGCGTATATGTACAATATTTAAACACATTACATATGAAACTGCAGTGTGGTATTGTTTTGTTCTCATATTACTTTCAATCAATCTTTCATTGCCAACAATGCCGATAAATAACCCATTGATGTTTTCACTGTCTAAACACAGTAAAAGTAAAAAGTAAATAAATAGTAATCAAATATACATATACAGGTTGTCTCATAATGACCGTATCACTGCTCGTAGGCAGGTAGAAGGGATTATTCTAAGTCGAAAAGTCCTGAACCATTTTTTTCTATTACATATGAGAAAGGAGTAGTTAGTGACTAAATTACGCCAATCAGCGCTGACCTTTTGCCGAACGCACGTCAGTGAATTACGCCGCCTGATATGCGTGAGCGCTTTGCGCGGCTCATTGACGTGCGCCCGGCTAAAGGTCAGCGCTGATTGGCGTAATTTAGTCAATAACTACTCCTTTCTCATATGTAATAGAAAAAAATGGTTCAGAACTTTTCGACTCAGAATAATCCCTTCTACTTGCCTACGAGCGGTGATACGGTCATTATGAGACATTCTGTATATATGTATGTACATATAACGATTAATATATGATAAAATAATATTAAGTAATATGATATGCAGTAGTATAATCCAGTTTTTGCAAAAAATTAGATGCAAACTAAAATAATATGAGAATAATATATTTCTTCTTCTGACGATATCTTACTATTCCGAACATTTCAATTGAAAACGTTCCGAATTTTCCGGCCGTCAATATTAATGGATCCGCGGAGCGATGTACCATGAACATTAAATCNTTCGCATTTTTTGACGGCAAATCGTACCATTTGCATTCGTACACGCCGTATGCGATACTAGTGCTCTGAAAACAACGGTTTGTTTTGCACTACATGTGATATATTATTACTCTTTCGCTTTTTCGGCGTGCTTGTACCAAAATGTAATTCACTGTGGATGGAACGCGTTGCTCGACACTGACACAACTACGAAGTGATTACGACGCACTTGTTATTTTTGTAAACTTGCAAACATGTAATATAATATAGATACTATATAAACAAATATGCGTTTTTTGTAGGCGTATATGTGCACGTTCTTCAGAGCGAAAGGGTTAATGATATTTTTGCGGTACTGTAACATATATTACTTATTATCGCAGTGTATTTTATTGTTATTATTTTACCTCTTCCGAAAGTCTTTCGGCTGAATAGCAATAAATCCACAAATGCATTAACACGAGAAGAACGTAAAACGAAAGGAAAATTATTTTGACAAGAGGCACCTCCAAGTGTTCCGTTATTATCTGAAAAATAAAATGCGCTTTTATAATACATTGTATTTACGTATATATACATAATATTGTTACAACAATGCATAATTATTTACCGTGAAAACTCGAAACGTTTGAAAGCACAGTTGAAAAGTAAGTGACAGCATGTGCACGAACAACACCGCACTATAACAGTTGTCAAGCGCCTTCGCGTTCCTTGAAAATTTTTTCATGTATGGTATTTACATGTTATGTAATTGTTATTCACACTTATAAAAGTATAGTAATTAAATATAAATATTGATAAATATTATCGCTTTAGTACAAATACTGTCGATTTTTTGTTACCTTTTGTTATACATGCTTGTTAAATCTATTAAAGGTGTTTCATTCTATTCACAGATCTGGTAAAACTATTATTTATACATATTTTACACATTGTTGCAGATGTACTTCGACGTACCTGATGACATGCTCGTGGCGAATAATAATCGCGCTTAAATTTTTCCTAAATCTTGAAGACGACATGGATTTGTCGACCTCTTCGTCAATCAGATTATGCAGTGTTGTTCGTAGATTTATCAGCTGCGAACACATGTGCAGCACAAGCGTTGAGACGAAGCTATCGACGGTACAGTTGATGAGGGCCGTGTATACACCGCCACAAATTTGAATAAAAAAGGTGATCTCGTAATTTGGACTTTTTTGTACGTTGTAGGGATACGGGAATGGATAGACGATGGGTCGTTGAGGTTGATGCATGAAACGATAGAACTTGATGAGATGGAAAACCCCGCCAAACGCGACCGTTCCCGTCCCGACAAAGTAACATCGAAATGACAAACTTCGACCGCATCTTGCGAGCTTCAACATCGTATATCGTTCCCAATTGCTCTTCGAGGTAATCCAATCGATCACCACCGACGTCACCAGCGTTCGAAGTGCTTGCGGATGAACCAAAGTTATTAATATAGAAAAGCGATATAATAATATAAATTAATACAGAAACGATGAATATTTTAAACTAAAGATAATTGTCTCAATAATCGGATATGTACATACAAACTGTTGGACATTTAGTAAAGAACAATGTCAATATTAAATATAACAACTATTAAAGATATTGATAGTTTTTAAAATATGTTTTGAAATATTTGGTTCTAAGCTTTTTCTTGTATAAAATGATAAATATAATTATTTATAATTATTTTTTTAATAATCTTTCGGCTATTAGTACTTGTGCGGTTAGTGGAACAATTGCTTTAGCAAAGAAATCCCAAATTGGAATGGGAAAATACACAATAGTAACTTTATTGTTTGTTTACTTTTACTTTTTTATAAAAAATAATATTAAAAATGTTTTTTCTTTAAAAGTTTCATATAAGTATTAATTTTAAAAAAGAAGAGATTATTCTTTACTACGATTATTGCTAATAACGTACTTTCACCGTGATACCAGGTGACCACCAATTTGCACAGCGCTATCAAACTAAAATTCGCGGAGGCGATGTGCTCCACCATCAGGGCCACGTTACCCCAAGCGCGAATTATATTTGTTAATTGCGGCACGATCACATAGAAGCTCAAGATACATGTGATGATTATAAATCTCAAACTGGGACAGCGAAGGTCACTCACGGAAACACGTGGATCGGGCCATATGCCTAATAATCGCAAACAGTGTCGACTGAGTGCGAACGCGTAATTCAGATCTAAAAAAATTCAATCATAATGGAAATATTAGTTGTTTTCCTCGCGCGAAGTAAATGTACACCTTGTGCGGCACGATAGAAAACACACGTTGTTTAATTCTCTGCAGTATGAAGAGTTTCCAGGATCTTTCTTTACACAGGAAATAAAAACAAACAGAGAGAGTGCATTGGCAACTTAAGCAACTTTCATTTGTACGAGCAACTCTGCAGATAAAAAAAAAAAACTTACAGTTTATCTACTAGAGAGGAAATTTTTTTTTAGCTTTTTGAAGTTGAATAGAAACTCCTGCAAACTTTCATACGAGTCTATAAACTGCCTGGGTACCAATTAAATGTTTCTATACTTTTGCAACTATAATAATTTGGAGAGCAACTTTCCGTCACGTAGCAGACAATTGTCTCAGTTAGATATAAAGTGTTTTGAAAAAATAAAAATTTATATTTGTAACAACAAAGTCGTGGTTTAATAGTTTCGACAGCGTTTAATTCTTTACAAAGAGTAAAGATTAATTTTACATTAAAATCGCGTTCACTTTATGATAAAATAGTTACAACACCGAAACCTTTTTGTTGTATATTGTTCTTTACTGTATTTTACTTTCGAGATTTAAACAAGCTACCTTTGTTGACATTCATTGAAGTTCGCGAAGCTAAAATTGTCGTGAATCGAAAATTGTCGTGATCGAACTGAGATACTTGCCACGCAAAAAACCCACCGAGTTTACGCGCGTGCTCAGTACGTGAAAGGTTTTTCCGCCATCTGTCACTTTTCCTAAACCGTATCAAAGAACAATAGACAGTCATACGAGTAACACGACTAATAGCGCGCAGTCATTTGTACTGAATCGGATATTATACGAACATAACATTAGAATTTTCCGACTATCAGCGGGTTTGCTCGCTTGATTGGGATATCGACGTGCTGTGCTTTGCAATGAATACTTAATTGGCGGCTGTTTGAATGAATAATCGATTTTTATCGGTCATAAAAATTATATTCTCAACATTTACAGTTAATAAGATTGTTAAGTCGAAGCAAATGAAGTGTATGGATCGTTATGAAGAAATACATACGTTGCACAACAATAAGATTTATGTTACAATCGGTGCGTATATGTACACTATTTAAACACATCACATATGAAAAAGAAGTGATTTATATTGTTTTAAGGTATTGTTTTTTTTATATTACCGTCAATCTTTTATTGCCAACAACGCCGATACGTAACCCAATGATGTTTTCACTGTCTAAACAATAAGAGTTAAAGATGAAAAATATTCACATTAATGTGCATAAAACTAATTGTTTGATAAAATACAAATATCTGTGTTTCTTGTAAAAAAAATACATTAAAATTAGAATAATAGAAGAACACGCGATAATTCTTTTCTTGGATATCTTACCATTCCGAACATCTCAATCGAAAATGTTCCGAATTTTCCGGCCGTCAATTTTAATGGATCCGCAGATCGATGCACAATGAGCATTAAATCTTTCGCGTCTTTCGGCGGTAAGTCGTACCACTTGCATTCGTGCATGCCGTACGCCATATTAGTGCTCTAAAAATGAATTTTTTATTTTTTGCGCGCACAACGTCCGCACATCATTCCGCACATCGTGTGCGTTTTTACCTCTTCCACGAGCTTTTCGGCGGAATAGCAATAAATATACAAGTTCGATAACACAAGAACGACGTAGAACGTGAGGAAACCTAGTCTGAAAATCGTGACGTCCAAATGTTCCGTTATCATCTGAAAAATAACACGCGTTGTATGATTTAACCGCGCATTTGTTATTATAGCACTTATTTTTCAATTTGAAATGTATTAAATTGAACAGCATGTAACAATATAGCGCTCATTTATTGATCATTTGTTAACTACTCGCCGTGTAAACTTGAAAGGTTTGAAAACACAGTTGGAAAGTTAGCGCCAGCATGTGCACGAGCAACACCTCGCTGTAGCAGTTGTCAATTAACTTTGCATTCCTTTCAATAAATAAACATTTACATGTATAATTGCAATATGTGTTTACATGGTATAATTTTTATATTTTCTTATTTTTTACCGATATCTCTTGATTTACTGACGATTTTTACGTGCAGTTATGAAGTAATTTTATTACGTGCACAAACGCAGTGAAATAATTTTTTCATTTTACATTTTACAGTACGAAGTGTTTTAAACGTCTAACAAACCTAATGAGATGTTCGTGGCGCATAACAATCGCAGCCAGACCTTTTTTGAATTTTGAAGAAGATGCGGATTGGTCGACCAGATCGTTCAGTTTTCTGCGTAGAATTTTCAGTTGTGCGCATATGTGAAGCACGAGTATCGAAACGAAGCTGTCGACGGTGCAGTTAATGAGAGCCGTGTACGCACCGCCTGAGAGCTGAATAAAAAAGGTGAGTTCGTAATTCGGACTCTTCTGAAAGTTGTAGGGATAAGGAAACCAATAGACGATAGGTCG